CCAAACCCGGGAAGACGCCGCTTGGATAAACCCCCACCCCCCTGGGGGGGGCGTTCGGGTTCCCCCCCCCCCCCCCCAAGGGGGTTAAGGGGTTTTTCCCCAACCGGGTTTTTTTTGGTTTCCCCCCCCCCCCCCCTTTTGCGCACAGTGGTTCTGCATGACGGGCATCGACCGGCCCGGCTTCATGACACCAGGCCTCCCCCCCCTCCCCCGAGGGCGAGGCCACCGCTGGGGCTGTGAACGGCGTCTCTTCACCCCCCCCCCCTCCCACACCCGCGAGCGCAGGCCTACTCCGCCGCGAGGGCGACGCCGCCCGCCTGCCGGCCCCGTCCGTCGCCCTGCCCGCCCTCGCCGCGGCACTCATCTTTGCCGTCGCCGCCGTGCTCTTCAAGGGCAGCAAGCAGCGGCGCGGCGCCGCCTCGGCGAACCTCGTGTGAAAGGTGGGAGGAGGAGGAGCTGCCCTCGCTTCGCACGGGCTTTAGCGCCATTCACCTCCGGGCGCGGCGCTGCTCTGACTTCTTTCGCGAGGCGCCCCCCGGCGCCATAAAAGTCACGGCCATGGCCTCCACCTCCCCTCTCCGTCGGCGGTGGCCGGTGCGCCGTGTCGCGTGTCGGCGGTTTATGCGGGGCGAGAGTGCCATTACGCATTGCCATTAGAGATTAGTGTATTCGCTTGTGTCACTTGCTTTGGGCATTGCCGTTGGGGGGTCTTTCCAATACGGCTTTATCCAAACTGTGGCTAGAAGTTCCATTTCACTCTGACACGCTAATCTTGAAAACGTCCAACGGAGCTCCGTGTTGCTCCCAGCGGAATCCCCCGCGCTTCCTGCGGCCCTAGCCGATGATACTAGCATGGGAGGTCATCTGACTACCGCGAGAGCGACCCAACTCGTCGACATCGTCCGTATACGGCTTATCGTTGGGATTTTCTGGTGACTCAGGAAGGAGGGGTCTGCGCCGAATAAAAATCGGTTCCGTGCTGCCCGCCCCCGGATACACATGGCACAATTTATTAGAAGTTGAGCCGCGCACTTCCGGCCGAGAATAAAATCCCTAGAGAGAGATTCTTAGCAATACCAAACAACTCTAACACTCACACATCATTGTGGTGGTGGCAGCGCGCACCCTGCTCGGCGGCTCGCACGAATTCATTCTGCATGGTTGCAAGCCTTGCGCGTCATCATGCAGCGGCGGCGACGCTCGCTTGGTGGGGCGAGCCGCGACACGCGTTGCTGGTTCGCGCGACCGAGTGGGGTGGGTGGGGCGCCGCTAAGAGAGGCCACACCCCGCGATGAGAGATGTCTGGGCAGACGCACCGGCGCGAGCGGGCAAGAGAGACCAGCGGTATTCCTGGCGCCGCGCGCGTATGTTCGTCGGCCCGACGAAAGCACAGCTCAATCCTCTCGGCACCCCTGCTCGGTAACTCCCGCCTCCCTGCTGAGGAATCGGTCTGCTCTCGACAGGCCGACGTCGCCTTCACCGAGGGCTACACGGACGTTTGCCAGCGCTACCACGAGTCCGCAGGGCGCGTCTACGCTGCCCGCGGCCTCGTCAAGTCCGATGAGCTGGCCCTCACCTTTGGCGACAGCGGCAAGCCCCTCTTCAACCACCTCGGGCAGCTCGTCGCCATCGCCAGCTACACGCCAGGGCTGGCCACCACGCCGAGCTACTGGGCGCTGGCCGAGGGCCTCACCGCGCAGCACTTCGGCGCCGTCCCGCCTCCGACCACGCTGCCGCTCCCCGTTGCTGCCATTCCACTTTTGTTGTACGTTTTCTTTCTTTCTTTTCTTTCTAACACAGGAAACAAGAAAAGCGTGCACGAATTGTACAATCTCTCTGGGGCACGAGAGTGGCGCGCACTGGCTGAGAGACCAGCGTGTGCTGTGATAATGCTTACTTAATGGTAGACGTAATACCGAGTTAGTTTCGCGGCCCGCACCCGCGCACCGCCAACGGGCAACCCAGTACCCGGCCGGCACAGCTCACGCATGCGTACATAGAGCGCGGGACGTCCGGCGCGGCTGCCAAGAGCGCGTGCGCTGCGGCGGGGGCTACCGTACCCCGGTCGCTCTCGGCTCTGACTTCTGAGGGCCGCATGTGCGTCTGCGACATGTGGCGCGATCTACCGATCTACGTTCTACCGCATGGCGCATGCATACCGTACGAACACAAATGCGCACATCACAGACCAACGCCCTTGCTCACTGAAGCTCCTCCAAAAAAGAGAGGTCTGAACTGTACCAGACCCCACACAGCCGCACCCACTATCTGCTCTGTGTACTATACTACTCGTACGAGACCCCACATGATGGTACGTAGTACGGCGCTCATGCGTTGCACACACTGCTCGCTGGCATGCGGTCAAAAGTGAGAGAGGTGCTGTGCTACCGGCCCAATGAGCCCGCGGTACCGCTGCGCGCGCGCGCGCTTGGCACGGCGCTCCTCGTCGTGCGCCGCGAGCGGGTGCTGCGGCGAGAAGCCCTTGACCCACGCGGCCGACGACTCGTGCAGGCGCTTCAGCTGGCCCGACTCGACCACCTGCAGCGCGTCGGAGCCGCCCGAGGCGATGTGGATGAACTGGCGCGGCTGGAGCGTCTTCATCTTGTCGCGGAAGCTCTTGTTGTGGTCCGTGTTCTTGACCACAGTGTCGATGAGGTCCTTGCGGTCCTTGTCGGTGCCCTCGAGCTTGCCGATGAGCCGCGTGCCGGTGATCATGCCGCGCAGGTTCTTGTCCAGGTCGGCCGGCCGCTGCGTCGCGATGACCAGCGGGAAGCCCTTGTCGCGGTGCAGCTGCAGCAGCCGCTTCGCCATCGCCGTCGACGTGACGGCGTCGCCGGACTGCGTCTGGCCCACGTTGGGCATGACCATGTGCGCCTCGTCGACCACGACCATCGTCTCGGGCGCGGCCTGCGTGCCGGTGCCCTCGCTGGCGTGGCCCTCGATGCGGCGCAGCACGGTCGAGGCGACGAGCTTGCGCATCGTCTCGGCGCCGTAGCCGTTGCCGAGGAGCGCCAGGTTGACGATGGACAGCTTGACGCGCTTGCCCGCCTCGCGCGGCCCGCAGAAGGTCGAGGCGTCGAGCGGGTACACGTCGTCGTTGGATGGGGCCGCCTCGTTGCCCTTGATCGGCTGGTACAGCAGCTCGAGGCCGCCCGACGGGTCCATGCGCACCTCGATCTCGCGCTTGACCGCGTCGAGGTCCTCCTGGCTGACCGGACCCATCACAATCGGGCCCGCGCGT